TGTTGCAGCCCAAGCAGCATGCTGCTTTATAGTCCTAACTTGGAAGACTTGTTCTTTCTGATGCTAGGCCTTCTGATGTTCTTTTTTTGCAAACCAGGACTCCAGAAGCTGTCAGTTTTGATTTTTACTCACCTTCCTTCAGTTCATCTGAGGCACATGCTGATCCCACGGGGATGTTTTCAGGAACAAGTAGCAGAATTTTTATAAAGAAGCAAATAAAAATATTACAATTAAGAAGTTTGGTTTATTCAGGCTATTATCTATGAGCAGCCTGATGTAGTTGAATATGTGCTCAGTGTGGGCAGGGTGGGAGGAGGGGGGTTATAGATGACCTTTAACAGTCCCTTCCAACCCAAACTAGGATTCTATAATTCTACAATTCTGTAAATGTCCTTCTGGAAAATACAGTTTTAATGTCATATCAACACAGCCTTTGTTTCAATAACCTCCAATACATTGATGGTAGCCATACCAGTGCAAGGAAGGGCTTGTGAGGTAGGCACAGTTCTGGCAACAAGAAGAACCAGCCACAAAAACGCTGCCTTCTCTACTTGCCTTCTGCAAAAAAAGGAGGTGATGTTCCTAGCAGAGGGAAGCCAGCCCATACGGCAATTTATAAACTAGGAAAGTTCATTACAATATTTATATTTATAAACTAGGAAAGAGCAAATTAACCCAAGCAAATTTGCCCCACACTTGGATTTCTGAAGAATGGTTTCCTAGTAAAACTTAAAGTAAAAATGTGTAAACTTTGAAAGTTTTTAAACTCAGATTTCCCCCTTCCCCAAAGTTTCCTGTCATATATGAAATCTGCTGTCATATATGAAGCATATATGAAGCAGCCCTGTTAACTAATTAGACTGACAACAGCTAAAATAAGGAACTTATGCATATTGATCTTTAGATAATTTTAAAAGGTACTGTATAACATATGTGACTTTCCTGGAAAATACCATAAAGGAAAATACGGCGATGTGTAAGTGAAATGAAGTTTGAATCCTCAAGGACTTGTGAAGGAGAAAAAAGAGAAACATTTGCCATATAACAGCCTAGGATGGCTGTTGAAAAATAGTTTAAAAAAGCATTGGTTATCAGGGTTGATATAAAAACACTGGCCTTTCCACTGCCTCTGTTGCATCATAGATATAGTCAACATGACAAGTTTGACATGCTTTTCTGTGTATGGGAGTGCCAGTTATAAAACATATGTTCCTAATACAAGAGCAAGACAAACCAAAGATTGCTTTTACTCAGGGTGCAGTATAATACACTTTTATCTGCCTGTCCCAAGGTGTTAAACACAGCCCCACCATTGCTACTATGTTAGCTAAACAGCTGGAATGTACCATACTCCCACCCAAAGTAACTGTTTCTCAATATACAGCTGATAGAATAATTGAAGGTCCCAGATAAGGAACTATATACGTTTACAAATCCCAGATACGATGCATTCTTTCTCTTTTTTCACCCTTAAAACCAGCTTTATCGAGGTCTGCATTGTTTTAATTGACAATTGGTGAATTGTTTATAGCAGTGGGATCCCAGTGCTAAGCCTGTGCCCCATCTCTTGTCACCCCATGCCTGTGCTCCGTTACACTACATTGTTGTCTCCGCTTCTCAAGGCCACATAGACTGTATCAAGTATCTCTATGTTGAATTGTTACATTACAGCCATAAATACCTCATTCTACACAGAATGGTGGCTTGTTGCTGCTACCTCTAAAAAACCATGGCTGTAATACACAAGGGTAAAAGAGTAAAGCAAATTAGCAATAGACACCTGGTTGGTTAGAGAAACTGCTGTCATAGCTAAACCAAGTAACATACATTAAAGACCAGCCGGACCAGGCACGTCAAACCTTGGCCCTGAGGTCCTGCACACTCAGTACAAAACTTATGGCATGTGACTGGCAATGACAGTGCCATACTGCAGGATGACATGGATAGACATACGACTTGGACGTCTTGGGCATAATGCAAGCCCAATGTAAGGCTGACCTCCTTACAGCCTTTGGCAGCATCCTACACTTTCCTGTGGTGAAACAGGGATCATCCAGTAGTGTTCAAGTCACATTTCACTACCTAAGCTGCAGGGCTCCGGGGAGTTAAGGGCTTATCTCAGCTTTAACAGGATTTTGTAGTCCTGTTGACATGAAGCCTTTCTTATGGGACTTCTCACAGGGATTTGTCACTGGCTGAGCTGGTGTGTGGCTCCCCATGATGTGATCCCCAATGGGAGGTGGGACTAGAGTCCCTCCCACTGTTGTCCCTTTTCCACCACAGGTGGAAAATCCATTCACACCATCTCACTCACCTCAAGCTTGCACTTTTTTATTCTTAAACTATGACCTGTTGACAGAAGGCGTTTCTTGGGGTGGGGAAGAAGCAGCAGACTGCCATCCAGGTAGCCCCTTCCTACCAGCTGCACAGTAGTTTTTTGTGCTGCCTCAGGGATAATGTTTTGCCGGTTAAAATTGTCAGCAGTGAGCAAAGAGCTTGAATGCCCTCCTCTGAGCAACGGCCCCAGTGCAGCACCCCTGCCCGTGGTGCCAGAAGCACTTTCCCACAGGGAGCCTCGTGAGGATTTACAGCCAGGAACAGTAGGGCAATCCTGTTTACCTTGCCCTTCCAGTTCCCATCATCTCTGTTGATATCCAGTACTGTAGGGGGTGCTACAGAGGATTGTGGATGCTAAGTAAAAAAATCATCTTCGAAAGCACTGGATGCTTCACAGTGGTCTTGTTGCCAATTCCACACAATGTTCTTCTTCAGCAAAAATCACACTCCCAGGAATACAGACACTCGGCACACGTGACTCCAAAACCCGCAGAACCCGGGCGAAGTCCACGCCACCTTTTTTTTCTGTTATCAAAAAGAGCCAGTATGTGTTGTGTTTCTGCTGTAATAGTTCCTGGCAGTTTTCACCTTTCAGTCCCTCAGGTACCTAAAAACCGTTTGGCTAACAGAATGGAAGAGGACAAGGCAAAGAAAATATCCTGAGAGCCAGCAAGGACAGAGATGCTTGCGCTATGTCCCTAGGATCCCTGAAAATACGCAGTTCAGAGGAAACAAGAAGAAACTGAGCTGTGCACACTGACTGAAGCTTCTCTGGTGCTACTGCTGCGAGCAGTGCAGGGAAAGTCCTACAGAGAAGAATGAGTAATAACAGGAGCTATACAGACGTCCAGCTGCAGGTGCCCCATTACAACAAAAACCCTCCCATCTACTGGCAGTTCTCATGGGAATTTTAAAGTATGTGGTTGGTGAGAAAATACAAAAAATAAGCACCTAACCTATGGCAAACAGCAAATGTTTAAGCCAAGCTCTTATTAAATCTCTGAACTTTCTTTTCAAATGGAAAATTATCAGTTGGGCACTTCAGAGATTAATGTTTCTGAAGATAACAGAGTTCTTCAATTATATGAGGCACATCTGTAAGATAGAAGGTATGCAATTACTTTCTCTATGACAAATGGAAATACAAGCAGCAACAAATAAAAATGTGTTAACCACAATTCTGCATTTACATAACATTTGTAACTCAATCCATAATACTGAAGGCAATTACTTGACTAATCTACATACAAAACTAAATGTCATTTATGCAATCCAAAACATGTATTGTTAAAACATAAGTTTTCAAAATGAAGAGACGCAGTCGCTAAGCTTAACAGTCACAATGTCGCTCAACGATATACCCATCTTAATCAAGAGGCACCAGCTCCTGGCAGTGAAAGATTAGCAATGTCTCCTCCCTCATCTCTTTGGAAACAAACTCCAAACTCATTTATTACAGCAGGAGCAAAAAGCATTTTTTTAAGACTGCTGATAAGGGAACAGCCTCCTTTCTTTTTTTTTTTAGTTCGATGCACCTTTTCTCCAAAGCAAATGTCAGGTACGTGACAAGTTACACACATCTAGTACTGAAACAAATTCCTACTTATCCAGACACATCAGAAGCATCCATGGGGCACTACAGCTAAAAGTCCATTCTTCAAATCTGCTGCATGCCTAGAATTGTTTTGAAACATTTTTTATTCAATCTTATCCTTTTACATTCACTCATTTGGCATTAACTCAGCTGTAGTCAACAAATCCCTCTAAAGCTCAGAGGTGAGCAATGGCTATCAGAGAAGGTACAGGGCAAGAAGCTCAGCTTTAAACTGTGGAAGTAACAAGCACAGAGATAAAAGCTTCACACTAGGTTTCCAAAATGCACCCAAATGCAGTGTCAGAGAACCTCATTAAGCAGGGCAGCCTAGACAACACAGAATGTACTGGTGCCAGGCCCCAAAATCCTGAACTTGCAGGGTCATGGCCTAGAAGATCTATGAGTTCAGCAACATCTTTCAACACTTTGGCTATGTGAGTGAACACTGCACTCACAGCTATTATGTAGACAGTATATATTCCATGTTGTGTCCACTATGAATTTTTAGTTACATTTATACAACAGGTTTACTATCTCTGCTGGTTTAGCGGTACCTGACATGGACGTACACGTTCAAAAAAATCACAAAACAAGTCAAAAGAGATGGAAGACAGTTTAATAGTAAACACTGAACACTTTTTACTCTGATTACATCACTTGCAATAATCACTCTTGCTTCATTTCCAGCAGCAAGAGAGTCAGCTGGAAGAAGGCACTAGGCTTCAATCATATTCACCATATTTCTATGTAATACTTCATGCACAGCACAGATAACAGCCTTTTTCCTATCTGCATTTCTGCCCAGGTATGTGATGCTACTGACATAACTTGGGGACTGAACTAGATGACCTCTGAAGGTCTCTTCCAACCCAAACTATTCTGTGATTCTATGTTTCTATGAAGCCAAATCCAAAATGTTGAATTCTTTGTATTTGATCGTAGACTGTAAGAGGTCCTGCTTTAGGCAGTAGGTCACCTGGGATTCTTAGAATGACTTCAGGGTTTAACTGTTGTGTAAACTAGAAGAGGAAAAAGAAACTGCTATACTAAATTTCATTCGGTCTTTTCATCATAAAAAGCTTGCAGGGTTAAGTACAGACATTTCATCTTTTTTGTAGTTTGATGTCAACCATTTCCTTGTTTCACAGTGGCTGTCCTGGGTTCAGCTGTAACAGTCTTCACCTTCCTAGTAGCTGGTGCAGTGCTGTGTTTCGGCTTTAGTCTGAGAACAGTGTTGATAACACATCAATGTTTTAGCTGTTGTTCAGTAATGCTTACCCTGACCTTACCTGAGACTTTTCAGCCTCTCATGCTCTGCCAGTGAGGAGGGGCATGGGAAGCCTGGAAGGAGCAGAGACAGGACACCTGACCCAAACTAGCAAAGGGGTATTCCATACCACAGCATGTCATGTCCAGTATAGAAATTGGGGCAAGTCACCTGGAAGATCCAGATTGCTGCTTGGGCTGAGGTGGGTATCAGTTGGTGGATGGTAAACAATTGTATTGTGCATCACTTGTGTTTATTGTTGGGGTTTTTTTCCTTTCCCTTTTTAGTTTTATATTCTCTCCCTTTGTTATTTCCCTTATCATTATTAGTAGTAGTAGTGGTTTTGTATTATACTTTAGTTACTGTTCTTATCTCAACCTGTGGGGTTTATATTCTTTGAATTCTCCTCCCCATCCCACTCAGAGCAGGGGAGAGAAGGGGAGGTGAGTGAATGGTTGCATGGTGCTGAACTACCCGCTGGGCTTAAATCATGACAGTGGCTATGAATACTTCTTTGATGATCTCCTTATCCAAGTTCCTGCCTGTAAAGAGAAATGAATTAGTTAACTTTATTTTACAGTGTCTTTAAAAAAATTCATGCAAGTAGCAATCTGCTGGTCTTCTCAGCAAAGATGATGTTTATTATTCCAATGAGTCAGAACAGCAATACTAAAATTAAGCTGCAGGTAACAAGCTAACTAGCTTTTACAGGCAACAACAGACTTCAAGCTGCACAAGTTAGGGAAAGGAGGAAAAACTGGGATTTGCTGGTCATAAAAACACTTTGCAAAGTGAAGAGTAATAAGCAGGAAATAGAAATGTACAGCCTTGGCATTACAAGCTTTCCAGAAAAAGAAACATGTATTTTACACATTTTAATGGCTATAATCACCTTCCTTAGAGTTACTGAATATTCAATCAAACATTCAAACCATTCCCATAACCAAATATATGATTATGGATTTTTATTTTAATGTCACCAAAAGGCATACTGTAGATTCCTCTCAGCTACAGTATAAAACAGCAGGAGGTCTTGATGGATAAAACTTTGACTAGAGGTTGTGCTCAACATACTCACTGCTATTATTATGGCCAGTTTAGGCCAGTTGCTTTTCCCTGGACAAGTTACAGGACTGCCTTCTGAAAGAACAGCTTCTTACAGTCAAATGAGGAGATACGTAATTTCTTCCTACCTATTAGGACCAATCTATTTGTCCTCTTTTCACCTTCTTCCCAGGGTACTGCAGTCTCTTCTAGATCATAGAGCTCATGGACACCTTGGACTATCACCTGATGAGATTTGCCTTGAATAGATACCAGTCCCTTATCAGAAAAATAACTGTTAGGATACATAAATAAACCTTTAAAATTAAATATTTAAGAGGGGGGGGAAAAAAGCGCTTTGAAACTAGGGCAAACAGGGAAAAATATTTCTGACAAGTATGCACCAGTTAGTCAAAATAACCATGTAGTATGATCATGTCTAGTTGTAACATCCATTCTCACATCTCCTTATTTTGTTAAAAACTAATCATTACACTGCCATACTCTGCCTCCTGTTCCCCATTTGGTCAGTACCTACCTTTCTGAGCAAAAATAAAATGTCATCAGCTACTGTGCATTTGGAATAAATACATATATGGTGTTTGACATACGAGTACATGAAAGACTAATTGCCAACAAAGATTATGTAAAATGAGCACAAATGTTTGATTTCAGATTATTCTGAATAAGCTGTCATAGTCAGCAGATTCACTATACTGAGTCAGAATGCTTGAATACTGGAGAACGAAGAAACATTTGTGAAGTAAAACAACTAGCAAGAGAATTAGAAGGATACACTGTCAGTCAGCCCATTAACCCAAATACCAAAAGCTATATTAAAAAAGTTTTCATGACTTCATGTACAACTTCATAAAATATTTTAGTGGAACGCATTCTATAAAATTTATCTTATACGATTATAAAATTTAAAAAAAGGGGGAAATAAAAGGAGTTAAAACTATTTCATAAAAAAGGTCTGCATTTGACATATTAGTTGGAATTTTCTATTACTACCAAAAGGATTATGACTGCAGGTAAGATATATATACAAAAGCAACAAACTTTGGAACCCACTCATAATTACTTGGGGTTCATTTGCTTTGCTGTATTTGTCTGTGACTGAGAGCAAGCACACTGATTATTACAGGCCTCAGATCTCCTAAGGAATTACTGTGATTCCAATGCTCAATAAAATAATAAAAAATGTTATTATGCATAGCAGTACTGTTTTCAGATGAATTAAGATGCATCAGTGGCTATTTTCTTCTATTTGTCAGGAAGGAGAAGACAAAGATATTCTCATTTTGTTAGTGAAAGAGCAAGAATACAACCTTTCTTCCAATGATATTAAAATAATTATGTCGCTATCCATGATGCTCAAGTGTTCTCAGAAAACAAACCAGTGTATTTTCTTGTATTTCTTACAGCCTACTAAATGACAGACTCAATTCTCATTTTTTAATGATTTACTTGGCTGCTTGGTATCCAAAATTGTCACCTATACTCCTCTCAAAACCATGCAACTGAAAAAACATTTGAGGCACCCATGAAGATGGAATCTTACTGGCTGCATCTTTAGAACTACAGGCTGGCAATACTATAAGTTGTAAGAGTACTAGTACTGCGCTGCTATGTTATACCAAATTCAACTTCTGCATATTATGCCAACGATTACAACTATGAATAGCAATCTATAGCATCCAATCGACAGTATCTAATCCCTAGATAAGGAGACATTTATGTGAGATGGATGGAACCTTTCAAAGCAATGGAGGTAGAAGTGATTTAACTATGTCCTGATCATTAACTCTGCCACTGATGTTTGGGATTGTATATCTTCCCTCTCAATTCAAAACAAGTAGAATCAATATGTGCTTCTCTGTCAGCTATCTCCTTTTGAGTTGTTCCACCAGCCAGAAGATAACAAACTGTTTCTACATGGAACAATAACAAACTACTATTCTCCATTGTATCTGCTCTGCTACAGTGATCCAGTAGTGCCTTTGATAGGTATGCAACTGACAACACACTGCAGTATTTTAGGTGTAATGGAGAAAATGCATTTCATTTCTGACTAACCTTCAGTCTTATGACGTCCATGGTGTGCCCAGTCTTATCTTTCATATTCTTCTCCCACAGAAGATCCTATGGAAAGGAAAAATTTTTTCATAAAGAGAACGACATGGGATGATTTCTTATAAACAGCCACAATGATTTTTCTGTTGACAGTCATGTATTACTTACCTGAATGAAGAGGTTTAAGTTTTCTTCTTTTATATTTCCTGGAACTTCAAATGTTACTGTAATTATACCCTGCAAATGGAAATGCCCAGTTATTATTACCAACTTGAATATACATTACATTCATTTCAAACTGTTCTTCATAACTTGGCCTAATAAAAACGCAACTATATACCCATGGGAAATTAAAAAAAAACCCAAAAAACGAAATAATCCACTTCCATCCTGCCCCAATTTGCTCCATTATGTAATACTATCTGGTTTTGTTTGGGTGTGCACTTAAGAGGCATACACAATACTCTGCATAGCTTAATGCCTCTAGCTTTTACCACGTAATACTTTACTGTAGCTGATGTCTGTTTTCAAAGAAAGCCTAAGAATTTTAATTCTGATAAGATAATAAACTCAGTCTTTCAAACATGTTTAAGAATTATATTTTCTTGGCATACTGATCTTTGTCACTATTTCTGATCTTCATCACAATTCTGACAGACAGAAATTAATCAACATATTTTTCACTTATCCATACCTGACTGTTATGAATTCTTTTTATAAACAGAATATGTAGGAATAGATTTCAAAAATCAAGAAGTCTGAAGTGATGTTTTATTTCAAAGCAACCACCAGCTTACTGCTCTTAACCAACTATTTAACAAAACAGAAGATGAAATAAATACGTAGTTTAAAATTAAAAATTTATTAAAAAAATAAAGGCAATAATGTCTTAAACTCATTTTTGTCCCTATGACCTCTCAACGGTATAAAACACAGAAAAGAATTACCTCTTGTACAGCCTAAAATTCTTTAAATTATTCACTGCCTTCAGACTAGTCTAACTCAAAAAAAAAGCAACAAGCAGCATATCTAAATGTTTACCTATTAACCAAGTAAACTCATCAAAACAATGAAGAGCTAACACTTTGATCAGCTTCAGACAACAGACAAAAGTTCACTATGCTTCACACACTGTGCAGTATTGCTTCTGTTTACCTTCCACATGAAGATAATAAGGACACTTTATCATGCAAAAAGGAGTTGCACTCTACTGCGAGAGGTGTTCTGATCTCATTTATGCCTCATCTTAAAAATAAACTAAACAGGGATAGTAACAATGAATTCTCACTGTTTCCGACTGATCAAACAGGTCCACACTACAAAACCAGTAACGTCCTTAATAATAAAACAAGCATGCTATAACTCTCGTAACATTCAGGAAGGCTTCTACTTAACTTTTTTTTCTACTTTAGGGGTCTATTTAGACTTTCATTACTATAACTGAACATATTTAAGATGAACACAAATTTTAATTAAACAAAAAAACTACAGACTTAAGATTCTAAGTTAGCATGAGACTGATTTTACATTTAATCTGTAGTTCCAAAAGATTATAATTGCCTTTTACTGTTTTCAAGCAACTTCACAGTCAAAACTTGTAGTTTAAAAAGCAAAATGAATCTTATATTATCCTGAAAATTAAATTTATCATAGCAACTTTCTAGAAGGGAAGCACACTTTTCTAAGATGGGCACAGTCACTACTGCTCCCACTGCCCCTCTGGTATCACCTGATAATCTGGTGGAACATCCTGTTGACCACAAGTGACCCAGAGTATCATACTGGGGCAAACGTGCCAGATGCACATGTGCAAGATTAGCCTCATGACAAAGCACAGAATCACAGACTCATAGAATGCTTAGGATTGGAAGAGAACCTAAAGATCATCTAGTCCCCCCCCCCCTGCCACTGGCAGGAACACCCTTCAACTAGGTTGCTCTAAGATCCATCCAATATAAAAGCCCCATCCAAATACATAAAATCAGTCCTCTACTTAAGTATTCTGAATGAGGTAAAAACTGTCTGGTAAGCAGAAAAAATTACCTTGGCTATAACATTTGGAAAACAAAACAAAGAGAAAACCCCCAAACAAAACAAAAACACCACCAAAAATAAGAAAAAAAAAATAAAAGGCAATTAAAAGGAAGGCTTTCCTAGTAAAACCTGTACATCATGGATAAAACAGATGCTTAAAAATAGCAATTAGCGTTCTGTAGGGATAATGGATGAGATCTTTTTTTCCTTCATCAAGATATGCTGATCACAAAAGGCACTGCATTTGCTCAAATGAAAGCCACAAAGGCAGAAATGCTATTTGCAGTTGCACACACGGAGAGTAAAGATTCTGCCCTAACAAAAACACACACTGGGTTGAGAAGTCAAGGGGTAAGAGGGGCAGGCATAAGAAAATACATTTTAGAGTTAATACATTTTAGAGTTTAATTCCACATACTAAAAATAACATTGACCAAACTGTTTCTTTCCTTTCTAGCACGCATGTGTCTACAGGATTGATATCTATATTATAGGGCACAATCTATTTCACTGTTACAAGTCAAATTGTTACTGCTTCTTATGAAAACAATGGGAAGCACTCATAAAGCAGAAATCTACACATGCTTATCTACTCAGTGAAGTTTCAGTGTCGCTTTAAGGAATGCAAAGTCATGAATAACATCTCCCTGATACCCACATACACAGATGACATTTGGATACAGCATCTACAGGATGAAGACTGGCTACAAATTCAGGACTTGGTTCTGCAAATATTAAAAAGAGTAGTGCTATTGTTTCAGTAACACACTCCAAGTGAATCAATGAATGATGTGAGTGTCAGGAGAACTGGAAACCTATAAGCTACTTTTGAAAGTAAGATTTAATATATCCATTCAGGATCTATTTACAACAAAGCATGTTCCTATCTGCATTCTATGAATCTTCCAAAGATCTTAAAACACATTACTCCCTAACTGAAACCTTCTGAAAAGGTAGTATTATTTGCATGCAATGCTTGCCATTACCTGAACTACCTTGTTGTTACAAAAAGATGAAGCAGTATTTTTGGTAATTACCTTGTCTAGATGTGCATTTGCTGTCTTCAGATGCTCCAGCTTTTTCTGCAAACTGAAAATAAGTTAAATGTCGTGTTTGAGTGGGATAGACAAAATGTCATTATTTCAAAATTTAGACACTCTGCAGTATTGAAAAAAAAACTAAAATAGCAAAGATAGACTACATTCTCAGAATAAACCTCAACTGTCTACCAGTACAGTCACACCAATAAGATGTTGTATCCGCTATGCTGACAGAAATCCTTACTGTAATATGCAGTTAAAAGGACAATTTTGTTAGTGTACTGGTGTGTTATTTGTGCTCAAATGGTACTGGATGCAAAGAATTTTTCTGCTGCATATGATAGGGCAGAAGTCACCTTTAATATTTTAGGTAGGGCTTTCTGTATACAAACTAATAACAGGGTAAGCAATTTCACTGTACAGAGGTCCAATAAAAACAAAAGAAATGGAACTTGACTTAAACAGTCCACAACCTTCTTGGTGGTCTCAGAATTTGTCTTTAAATGCTGCATCGTTTTAACACCAAATATTGAGAACCTCTAAAGGAACTATGAGTGAGGTAAGTGAGAAGAGACTAAGGAAAGCAAGAGAGGTTGTGGGGTTTTTTGGTTAGCTCTTTAAGGTCTTTCTGAGATTTGTAGAGCATAGCACTTCCTAGTAAACCTTGCAGAATGCCACTTAGTATTACAGCTAATCACATCTAACTGTGAATTGCCATTATGAAGAACCATCCTTTTCTAGTTCATATCTTCTTAATGCTTTCTCTCTGTTATGTGGCTCCAGGATGAGTCAGTTTAGCTAGCTGATCTATCGTAAGAACTCAGGACATTTATGATCTGGTTTATGACCTAACAGTTATCTATTGTCCATAAAGAATATATTGGCCTTTCTCCTCCCTTAACTTTCTTCAACCAATACTTTTCACAAATCAAAAGCCAGTGCCAGCAAAAAGAAAGGGCAGCAGAGAGTGAGGATAGTACTACACCAGTTCACTGGGAAATTTCTTGAGCGCATCCCATCTACTAGAGGTTACTAGCTTGCATCTTCTGCAATTTCTTCTTTATGTGAATAAGGAAGTAGCTACATTCCTTCACCTCAAGTGAACAATGTGCATTCAGGAAGAAAAACGAAGCTGATACTGCCTCCATTTGCATATTCCCTCCTTTTCTTTACTGATCTGGCACTCCTTGCTCTCTTTGCTGAACAACTTCAGCACACAAAGTAAACAGAAAGCCCTTCTCCCCTCATGTCCAATTTTACTTTTCCACCCTCTAGCACGCTGAAGCACAAATTTAGCATTAAAAAAGAAACAAGAACGTAGAACACAGTAACCAGAATCTGTAGTGGCTTTGTCTGCTGTTGTACCTCAGTCCCTCATTGTTTTCTGTGAAAACTAAGGAGGCCTGAAGTCCACCATGATGTCAAGTGAAAAAAATAATTTCAAGTACTTTAAGAAAAACAGTGGAGAGTGTACAAACCTAGTCTAATATTAGTATAAAAGCAAAACTTTAACTGGGAAAAAAGCCAACCATCCACGCACACTCTGGCTCATCTAACTTCACAAAGCCAAAAAACCTTTTGGCACACATTTCAAGCGGGGAAAAACTCAGTCTCAGATTACCACTTCTAAAGTATGAATTTTAAACAAGTGACTGAACTAAAATTTCTAAGAAACCCAGATGGAAATTTGAGCCAGGATTTAAGTGTCTATTTCATGCATGTATTTATACAACAGATGTTATTTCTAACAAAGGACAGTGAAATTATCACCATACCTTATTCCAGATAAACTGTCAAAAGCATGCAGGTCCAAGACATTGGAGAGATCAACTCTAAATAGAGGAAAGAAAGCAAGATTTGTACTTTGGCTATATTTAAATACTGTGTATACTTCTAAAATGGTTTACTGAAGCTTATATTAGTTTTCCTGTCTATCATACCAATGCCATCAATCCTTAGCCTTATTTTTGAATGTTGGTGGATGATATTGTCTCCTACAAGGAAATGGCAGTGCTTACTTACACAGTAATATATAAGCACAGAAATATCATTCTTAAAAATATAGTAAACCTCAAGGTATTTCCAAGAAAGATGATAAAATCCCTCATAATGGCTGCCTGAATAACTGATTTTCCCTAAATAGGAAAAGGAACCCTGAAGTTCTTCCTAGCAATTACTCTGCATCCCTAATACAGACCCTCTCAACACACAAACCCCTGGAATACATGCAGCTTATACTGACACGCTATTAGCAAACAAAACTGAAATATGCTATAAAGAAAGTCCTACTATTAAGAATTTCAACTGTAAATGCTACAAGTGTATCTCTGCAACTCCATCCCATTGCAGTATTTGTTGTTTTGTCATTCAATCACTCAGGCTGCACTCCAAGTATATACATTAGACGCAAAAACTTCACACTGTCTAGATGTCACGAGAACTGTAAATAATAGTAGTCTCAAAAATAAAAGATAGACAAATTTTGATATTGTAAAATTAGCTATGAGTAAATATCCAAGATTCACCATAAGAACAAAATCCTGGTTCAATTTAACCTGGAGTCCTCAGAGCATTCTCTCTTCTCTTTACAGACAGAGAAAAATGCCAGTAACATTATTCTAATACAACAACTTTATGAAATACTAGGTTAATAATATTGAATTTACACAATAGGACAAATTAACAAGTCTAAATTTTGCAGCACAATCTAGAGTGACTATTTACACATTAACATGAAAAATAATGGTGAACATTTAAAGCTTGATTTCAATTATTGCTCGCAAGTTTATCCACGCTTGCTGTTTTGAACCCAAGTCCCAAATGACAATAAATATATTGAAGAAAATTACTTTTTATGTAAGAGACACATGCTGCCCTGTAAGAAATTATTTACTGAGGATCTCTAGAAGAACAATAAATGAATGAATGTGAAACACTTCTCAGCAACAAAATTTATAGTATTTTTCACTCTTCAACAGTTTGCAAGTTAACAAGAAAGCAGCGTGAAGCTGCCAAACCTACTCAAACATTTCACCTAGCTGCTTGAAGAAAGTAATGAAAACAGTATGAGAATAATACTTATAAACTATAAAACTTATAAACAGGATAGTCACTAAAGACAATGATTTTCATAGTGCATCTTTTCAACAACAAAGCATAAAGTCCAGTGATGAGAATTTCAAGTAAGTTAAAGCCAACAGATACAAGATTAATATTTTTGATAACGTAAACTGAGCTGATCTTTAGATTGAAAGCAGATAAACATCTGTCTTCAAATCCCTGGGTTACCAAACAAAATACATATTCTACAGTTACCTGCTGGTCCTATCTAATCAGGCAACAGCAGCAAGTATTTTCTCTACCCTTTCCAACTATATTTAAAAAGCCAAGTGTATTTTATTAAGATTATGTCTACTGTTTTCCCATCAAAATAGCTTAAACCAGGAACTTGTATTATAGGAACGTTTATCCTAATATAGTCAAATATTTCATGTAATAGTATGCAAATCAGCCCTAGCAGTCTGAAAGATACACTGCTCTCCTAATGTCCCTGGGAATACCCTACTTCATTTTTTGTTAAATAAAAAATCTGATTCAGAGTTTCAATAAAAAATAGCAAAACAAATACTTTTCCTTCTTATAAACTTCTGTGCACTGCTTTCAAGGTAATTTTGTAGTAACAAATACACTTGCAGGGGGCATAAGTAAGAAAAACCTTCCAACTGACACAACAGAAAGAAAACTTTGCAATGCATGTGATCAGTGATTAGGTCAGAGACAACTTAGCCGTGCACGCTGCTCTTTAGTTACAAGATCTTATTAACAAGTTGCAAGAAACTTTGAATTTCTACTTTTAACACTCCTTTAAAAATTCATTACATTTTAGAAATATGCCGAAGCAAATTAAACTTCATCTATATTAGCATTTTTCAGGAACTTTCCAAATGCTATTAGTCTATAAATGGCAATATGACTAGAATATAACTTTAATAATTAAAAGCCATATTCATAAAAACCTTAGAACAAAATACAGCTTTGGGGGGTAAAAAGCTAACACCCAAGCTTTATTTCTAAAATACAAGTGGATTTGTAAAATCTACTTCTCAGGTAACTAGAAATACAGAAATATTTACAGTTACATTGCAAAGTCAAATAAAACTCACTAGTGATAAGCTCTGTAAACTAAGCTACATCTTAGTAGTGATTTTTCTTTAAATAGTTATACACTGGAGTGTACAATATGAACAGTAGCAAAGAAAAATACAAAAGAAAAATATAGGTTTTACTTCTTAAAAAAAAGATCTTTTATCTAGATGCTTATTTGTAAAATAAATATTAAATACTTCTAATTTAATAGTTTTCCTTTAAGAAAACTGATCTAATAGCATACTTAAATCTGTCACAAAAGAAGCAGGATTTAGTACCTAGTAACAGTGGCCATTTAATACCTTGATCTTTGTGTCTCTAGAATTTTACCAAGTCCATTTATTGACCTAAAACAAAATAGAAAAATCTTTAGATGAAAATGCAACCATAATACATTGTTTGAACAAATTAACCATGGAAAGCAGCATGAGAAATAGCACCACAACAATAATCCCAACCCTGTTATCAACTTGCGAACAAACCAACAAACAACCCAAACGACTTCGGTTTTGAGACTTTTTCATTTCCTAAGTAAGGGCAGGGGAACTTTACAAGTTCTGACAAAATACTACTGGAGTGAATAGCGTTTTCCTCTCCAAGACTTCCCATGATACACTCTGCTGGGTCTAGGCATTTTACTTTTAGAATTCAAACTATTAATGAAGCTGTAATGTATTTTAAAGTGTTAATGTTCTATTTTGGTTATTGTGGTATTGACAGAAAAAGATGGTGCATGTCTTTGATCCCTATTTTGATTCAGGCCATTGGTTTTTCTGTACCCATGACAATTACTTAGGGCTTCCTCTATACACCTTTGCATTTGCTAGTGAACTCTTTATCTGCTAGAAGACTTTTTTTTTACCTGATGCTAATTCTGAAAAACGGGAACAGCTGCCCAGAAATGTAAACGCTTGGACACTTAATACAAAGGCCTGTCCTTAGTAAGTAACGTCAAAACTTAGCTAGGCAGCTAGACAGGTTACACAGACAACCTGTTAAGACTACATATGCACAAAAAAGTATTGAAATGCCTTTAGAAAGGGACAGCCTCTTGTCCCTTCTGAGCTAATGATATGTGTCAATTGTGAGATCTAATTCTGTATTAACAGCAATAAGGAAGTAGCTATGTTTAAATAAAAACAACCTGTGAGCCAGTAAAGTGTTAGAGTTATGCCAAAAGTTTCATACCTGACATATGTTCTGACTTTATTCAGCTCTTCTTCTGAAACCAGGTCTGTTTTATTGACGATTATAAGATCAGCTAATGCAACCTGCCTATGCATTAAGTAATTTAAAAAAAAAATTAAAAAAAAAGACAACATGAACAAATAAATACTTTGGCAGAAACACCATCTCTCCCACAGCACCAAAAACATAGAATAAAATAGTATGAGTATTGTTAGTACAGAAAGGCAAGTATTAATCAAACTAGTACATCATGGAGTATGACTGAAGTACTATTGGCTTCTCCTTGAAGTGCTCCTCTATGCCAGAAATCTACAAACCTACAAAGACTTGCTAGTTTGAGTTTTTTCTTTTAAATGCAATCCAATCCAAAGTTCTTGCTGATTTATGAACTTCACAAGCCCCTATTTCACTTGCACTTTAAGTCTCTTTGCTTTATGAAGACTTCTGCTGTTACAGTTATCCTTAATCATTGAGGATCCATATCTAGCAAAAAAATACTCCTCCAGCTCCAGTTCTGCTTTGAGCACCTGATAGATTCTAGCACATATTTCTTTCTTCCCCCAACAGAGACGGCTGCCCTTCACTTACATAAAATCCCATGCCTCTTGAAGTATATATTAGAAGAGCCAGATCTTGGAAAAAAGACCAAATGGAGCATAAAGTCTCTTTTCTATTTTCTACCTCATTACACCTATCTACCTTGGTTTAAAGCAAAGGTGGAGAAAAACGCCTTATAAAACGAGCCATTTATAATGAACTTCTCTACAGTGCAGTTCCCAGCAGTTATATGTAAAATTAATTTATACATCCATACCGAGATGCTTCATTGACAAGGCCTTCTGGCTTTTCCTCTGTCAAGTGCTAGACAAAAATTAAAATAATTGGCTTAATCATATTTAAATTACATTTAAGTTCATTTGCAATTAAAGGAAGTTCAATTCAGCTTAGGAGGCATCTAGAATTTTTCTGTAAAACGATGGCAGAAAAGTACATTTACCATTCACCAGTACAAAAGCTTACAATTTCTTCTATGAAAACTATTCTAACGAATTTTGATTACAATGCTAAAGAGTTGGAAAACTATTATATTCATCTTAACTTTTCAGATTTACGATAAAGTGAAAAAAAAGTCACCATGACATACTGTAACCATGGAAAAACATATCTGAAAAAATGAAAGTACAGTAACTATACTAACGAGTGTGATGTCAACTAACTGTTACAGATGGGTGAGGCTTGCAGTACAGGATTTTATATGCATAACTGCATACTCCTTTTCCGTGAAAGATTTGACAAACTGCACTTTCATAGAAAAAACCCGTCATATTTACTGGGATTGTGCAAATAAACCACTACGCCTTGGCAAGTCTAGACAACTTGTGTTTGCAGTCCATTCAAGTTGCAACTGGGCAAAACAGTCAGTCAGCACTGCCAACAGCAGAAGCTCCTAGTCATGTTGCAGGAGTTAAGTATCATCTGCTGCTCTACCAGTCTGCCCAAGCTAATGTTCTCACACAAGAATTAGTGAAAGGGGGGAAAAAAATACCCGCATCTCAAGCAGCAGCATGAAGTTCAGCAATATAAAGCTTACTTAATTTAGACAGAGCAGCAGACTACACCGAAGCAGCAAAGGTTCATCTACAAGTGGCAGATGGGGTACGCCTGTCCCAAAGGAGGAAAAGGATTCTACGCAGGAGCTAGCAGGACTTATAGAGAGGGGTTTAAACTAGGTTTGAAGGCAGAAGGAGATAACACCAGGCTCACTAGACATGAGTCATGGGGTAGCATGCCACTGTTGGGGAGTCCAGATCCACAAGTCAACATTGTTGATCTGCTGGAGGATAGAAAGTCTCTGCAGAGGGATCTGGACAGGCTGGATCGATGGGCTGTGGCCAGCAGTGTAAGGTTCAACAAGGAAAAGTGCTGGGTCCTGCATTTGGGCCACAAAAACCCCAGGCAATGCTCCAGGCTTGGGGAAGAGTGGCTGGGGAGCTGGGCGCTTGGGGAAGAGTGGCTGGAAAGCCGCATGGAAAAGGACCTGCGGGTGCTGATTGACAGACACTGAGCACGAGCCAGCTTGTGCCCAGGCAGCCAACAAGGCCAATTCTGACCTGTATCAGAAACAGTGTGGCCAGCAGGGCCAGGGAAGTGATCATCCCCCTCTACCCACTCTGGTGAGATCACACCTGGAATGCTCTGTTCAGAAGGGCAACAGAGCTGGTGAAGGGTCTGGCGCACAAGTGTGATGAGGAATGGCTGAGGGAACTGGGGCTGTTTACAGTTTGGAGAAAAGGCGGCTCAGGAGGGACCTTATCGCTCTCTACAACTACCTGAAAGGAGGATGGAGCAAGGTGGGGGTCGGTGCCTTTTTCAAGTAACAAGCAACAGAACAAGAGATAACGGCCTCAAGCTGCGCCAGGGGAGGTTTAGACTGGAGATTAGGAACAATTTCTTCACAGAGACGGTGGCCACGGAAGGGGTGGAGTCACCACTGAAGTGTTTGAAAACCAAGCAGATGAGGCCCACAGTGACACCATTTAGTGATGGACTTGGCAGTCGTGGGGTAATGGTTGGACTTGATGATCTTAAAGGTCTTTCCCAAACTAGTTGATTCTATGATTCTATGAGTTATTTCCTGCCTATTCTGCCATGGAGGCAGCAATCTCCAGGAGAGGAGTATCTCCAACACCTGGAGGGAGTAAAACTTTAAACTGATGCTGTAATATTAGTAGGAGCTCACCACTTACACCTTACAGCTCTGGGAAGATCAGAGTCCGGTGCATTCCTTCATGAGCTCTAAACGTACCATGATGTTGTTTTAAAATTTTGTTTTAAACACAGAGGAATACCAAATGAAAGTGAAATTAACTGTCATGGGAGATATATAAATTTAAAAAGAAACAACAGAACTAATTTTTCTTCAAGTGGAATTATCAGGTATCTAACATTATTCGACTGGGAAAAAAAAACTGATTATTGCACAGTATCAGTCTGCCACCATAAAAAAAAAAAAGGCGAAACAAACATGAAAAACCCCAAACTATTTCCTGATTGTGCACAGCCTAAGCAGAGCATAACAACAGGATGCCTCGGAAGAAACCTCTCCTTTGACTTTTCATTTGTAATCCTCTGTGTATTGATTCTATTGAATTAAATGTTGTCAGATTTGCTGCTCTGAAAAGAATAACGTCAGTAGCCCTGGTTTCAAGTCCGGAAAGCAGAGAACTGTCACTTCAACTGTTTGCCTTCGATTAAAAAAAAATGATAAAACTCAGTATATCAGATTGCTCTGTGACAAATTCATTGGAGTGATAACCCATGATATCAATTATCACTTCAGTTTCAACTGGCTGACTGGTCACAGGGTACTGCTTGTCAGCTTTTCTTGTGATGGGTTGGTTCTTTGAAGCGTGACACCTCTAAATTGCTGACTATTATCTCAATGTCATTACCTGTATGGCTTCAAAAATCTTTGAATCACAAGCAGCTGTTGAGGTCAAGCTTTGCAACCAGAGGAATTGCACAAATTATCAAGTCCTTTATACAAAGTAAAAGTTGTTTACTTGGCAGAGAAAGGCTGAAGTTTCTATTATTCTGAACAGACGCAGTATTGTACTGATTAAATAACGTAAGGGTTTTCATTAAGCTGTTAAAAATAACAATGGATAGAAATGCTGAATGTTCCAAAACATTGTGCTGTTTCTGACATGGTACTTGAAAGTTTAAACATTCATTTTTTAACATTAATAATTCAGTGCTGCTGTGTGGACCACAATTTTATTTGCTTCAAACCAGTAAATCAGCATTGCATGAAGAGAAAGGTAAACAGAACAACACTTTTGCAAGTAATAAAACGCATTCAAGTCAGTATGAGGGCACTCAGCTAAAAAGGGGGCTGACTTAAGACATGCTGTGGTTTCTTGTGATAGTCCAGCTGATTTAAAAGTTGGCTCCTGCTTAAAAGCACAAACCAGCTCTCAGTCCCTCCCCTTAATTTTTCTATCAACTCCTCAACAAAAGTCCATGCAAAACATGATGGCTTAACTTGCCAAACTGGCTTGCTATGAGGTTACATTAGATCTGTCCTGGTTCAACACAAAATGATGAGAGAATGTGACTGCCACCTTCCAGTAAATCAGCTATTAGATCATCTCAATTGAAACAAGAAACCCAAACAGTCCACACAAAAATAAATTCTTATAAAGGAGGGAACACGTCTGTATTTTTTAACCATTATTGCTCAGTTCTTTCAGCTTTATGCAGACATTACAGAGATATTAAAAACAATTCCACGGTATGATGGGATTTTTTTACCCCAGTCGCTTATTTTGAATGGTCACTTTTGTTTTGAATCCTGCAAAAATCAACACCTAATTGAAGTAGTCACCTCCTATGCTAATTTAAGTCGCAAATAACTATATTTATTAGTACCTATTATAAAAAAAAAAAAAAGTTTAAATATTTGATTTAGTCACTATTTCTGGCGTCATCCCAACAACCTGTTCTATAGGTGTGTTTTTACATTGCCCTTCATACAGATTAGCCTAATACCTGCTCTTTTTGTCTGCTTCCATATAATGAAGTAACCTTTTAATCTGAAATGGTACCTAGACAGCTGGTTCTCCCATCTCTCCTCACCACACACACCATTTGCCATTACATTGGCTTTCCCAATTTGAGCTCTAACACACTGGTATCAAAGCTCTGCTCTTTAGAGGTGTCCTTTCAAGGAACAAGTGTCATTTCAATGACACTCTGTCAGACACATTACTGTTCTTACAGTAATCCAAATGCCATCTAGTATCCTGACAAGTCCTAGTAGACATGCTGCTGTGTTGGTAAGAATGTGAATTCCTTTGAATATCAGTACTTTCTTGTTCCCATTCAAAATATAGCACTAATATGCCCCAGCAACTGAAATCCAACTTCACCCATTGTAAGAATTAAAGCTATTGTAAAACAATGCAATTCATCTGAATGCACTCTATGCAATAGCTGTTCTTATGTTGCAGTTTTAAACCATGTGAAAAATGTAGTAGTTTACCTGCAATCCATGCTTTGCATCAACAACAGATACAATACCTAAAAGAGAACATTAAATGTCTGGAGAATTTAACAATTTAACAATTTAAAAGCTTCCTGTACAACTACAAAAATTAAAATATCATCACATTTACAATTTGTTATAATACTTCCAATGCTTCCAGTGTATCTGAGCATTAGACTTGTCACCTCATTATTTTCTTATTTGTAACTCGTCTCTCTAGTTTAAAAAAAAAAAAATGTCTACCAAACCAGGTGAGAGAAATTCTTACAAGGAAGATACCTCTCACCCTTCTTCACCAGCAAACTGGAAAATTTTACAGGTTATTGAAACAAATTAAGGGGACCAACTGAGGTATGCAAGTATTCCCATTGTAAGTGACTGGGAATCTGCAATTCTCTTGCAGAAACTTAGGAAGCCATTTACTATTCAACTGAGTGTTTACTTGGCTATATGGGCATTTCACAGACTGATCAAAGTGTTAGCAGAGTATTTTTTAAGCCAAAAAGCAAGGGGGTTTTGCTTACATTAAAAAGTCATCATTCAGCATGCTCTTTAACTACATTTAGTGATGATTTATATTACAGTAAACTCAGATTTTTATTGGAACATAGCAAATACCAGAGCTAACAGAGTACAACAAAGAAAGCAGAAAACAAAAGGCAGGAGACCAGATGATAACAACTCAAGAATTCAGAAAAGAAGAAACAATTTAGGAAACACTTCATTGGAAAAAATAAAGAGAGCTTTGGCATTACTCCTAAATATTGTTTTATAACATCTAATGAGGGGTTTTTTTTCCTCCCATTACAATCACAAGATGTTTCCACACTTGATCCCTTAGCAAAGCATTACACAACTTCTGTTTGATTCAGCAAACTGAAATTGCTCACCAAGTAGATAAATAAGAACCAGAATCAGTAAGTGAATCTTTGTGGTCAAATTTAGTATTTGAGAACCAAGATCATTTTCTGACATCTCAAACATTTTCTGAAACCTTGCCTTAAATTACAGGAATATATTACACTAGATCTAAATACAGAATGCCAGCATGTTGGAAAATTTGCACTTCTTACCATCAAGATAGATATCACTTCCCAGTTCAGAATCAACCCAGAACATGGAGGCCACAGCTCCTACAAAGTGCAGTAAATTTAGTTACAAAATTGACATTTTCCAGTAAACTACTAATATGCAGACATTTCATTTAAAAATTCTTATTTGTAGTGCTGTACTTGAAATCCCTCTCTTCCAAACTTAGAAAGCATCATAGCCTTCAAATTCCCACCACACATTTGACCTAACAACAGCTACCAAACATTATATTTGTGTGTACATCATCAGCTAGGACTACAAAAAAGCTTTAAAAATCTCACAAATCCAGATGCAATTTAAGCTGGCTAAACTGCCTTTACTCAGTAGTATCAACTAAGCGGGATTACTATACTCCAAGGCTCACTCATTTCTAAAATGTTTTGTACTGCCCTCTTCACCTTTGTGCTAGTTTCTAAGGTCATGGAACACACGCAGGGGGAAAAAAAAAAACCAACAAAACAGAGGAAAATGGAACTGGGACATTTGAGAAAACTGCTCCCTCCTAGGGACCTTTTCTTCACTGGATTCTATAAAATCTCCCATACAGTTTCTCACATCTTAAATCAAGAGGATGGGGAAAATAAAAATCACGAATAAACAGATAAAGAAAATAATGTTTTCCTTTCAGGTCTGCACAGGAAAGCTTCTGGCTTTAGGTAACCTTAAGATAGACTGAGTTACGAAATGTCTAATGCATGTTCAATCTGCAAATAGATAACTGCAGCAGAAGGCGAATTTATGAACGTAAATCATGCCTGATCAATCTGGAAAGGCTGTATCTGGCCTTCTGTGGGAAAAAAAAGAATTACTGAATTTGTGGACAAGGGTAAAGCATGGCGTGCCATTTACATCACTTCTAGCAAATTTTTCAACGCTATCTTCAAAGGTATGCTGGTAACCAAGCTGGGACATTATCAGTCTAAATGCAAAGACAACTAGGTAAAACTGGCTGATAATTAAGCTCTAAAGGTTGCAGTTAACAGGTCATACTCCACCTGGAAGCAAGTAATAAGTCAGGTTCTATTCTGGGTGGCACCTGTCCTGTTCAACATCTTCACCAGGAACCCAAAAGGGAACAGAAGACATGCTTGTCAAGACTGCAGAGACTATGAGCTTTGGAGAGGAACAGCTGACGTATCTAAGGGAAGAGCTATCTTTCAGAGGGACGTGGCCAGACAGGACAGAATGGCCAACAAGAAACTGATGAAATTCAGCAAGGCAAAACATTGAGTAATACACTTAGGATCAAAGGGCCCTGGGCAATGACACAGACTGCCTGGGGAACAGGTCTACAGAGAAGGCCCTGGGCATCCTGGTAGGCAGCAAGCCAAGCAAGAACTGTACTCTGGGATCAGTGAAGGCCAAACCCATCCCAGACTGTTCAAACAAAAGCATGGCTGAGGCAGGTTACTTTCCTCTATTTAACACTTTCAAGTCCGTATCTGGCTAGCAATTCCAGCATGGGGATCCCCCATACAGCAAGTGTACTGTCATGAAGACAGTTAAGGCCAGACCACAGGCCCCACAAGGAGACGTGAAGGAACTGCATTTGTACAGCCTGAGAGATGGGAAAGCATCTGCAGAACATAACAGCAGCATCTCTGGTACCTACACGCAAGTCACTGTCACCATCCAGCCTGTGGCAGAAGGATGGGAGGCAACTGTAGGAAGTGGAACTAAGCAAGGTTCACACAATATATATCAGAAAAATGTTTTTTCACCATGAAAAGGCAGGCACAGAACAAGTTGCCTGGAGAGGTTGTCTCAAATTTATCCTCAAGAGGATGGAGATGTATGACCTGATATCCCAAGGAGCTTGGTCTTGTCTTATAGCTGATCCTGGTTTGGACAGGAGGTTGGACTGAGGACCTCCTAACATGCCTTCCTGAATTACTGAATTATTCTGTGTGATTCTAGTATTCTTTACATGCTAGGCCTCATTATCCCCTGAATTTCCATCCAGATGAGGTGCTTCTGCAATAATGAAACACGTAGTATTCTCTCGTCTTTGTATAGTAACCTGTAATTTTGTCAGGATGTAAAACGGAACATTACTAAACTGATGAGTTGAGCAAGAAGAATCAGCAAGTAGTTAAGACAACTGGGACCAAATTCTATCAAGGACTCGGAATCTGTGACCCGATACCTCTGTACTACACATGGCCTAGGAGTAAGCTACTACTGTTTTCTGCTAAAATGGCCCTATAAAACAGATTCTAGCAACTGTCCAATGTGCTGTGTATTTATTAAGAAAAAAAAATCGTAATTTGTTATGAAACAAACCAATTTAACATATATCAGTGCCACAATAAGAAGGACAGGAGGAGCTGACAGCAGCAACAGTACTTTTTTTTTAATTATCAGAACCTTTGTTACTGGCAGGCTGTCAGTAACTAAGTGAAGTACGCACATCAGAAAAAAATACAACAGAAAACCTCAGTAACTAAGCTCATTCTAACACCTAAACCTTTCCACCTGAAGTTGCAAGATGCAGTCCTCCAAGCATCACTCTGTATCAACACCAAATACCTGTCAGTTGTTCACAGCGCTTACTCATGCAAGGTAGAGCAAAGGTCACAACATCTAATGGTTTTCTGGTATCTATTGATTTTTTTTTTCCCAAAACGTTAACAGTTTTCCAATTTGACTCGCACAGAATTTGTGTGTAATAGCAGCCAAATCAATGTCCTTTCCTCTGAAGGAAATTGCTTTACCATGAAAACTATTTAGCTTTGAGCTGGAAAATGTCAGTCTCCTAAATGGGAAACAATTGCATTTCTGATAAGAATTTCCTTCACTCTCGATCAACAACACATTTTTAATTGACGATTCAGTGAAAACGGTTTCAGATAGCTATTACTAGCATGAGCTCAAGTTTAACCACCTTTTTATAATAAATATTATTAAAGACCACACAAGAAATTTTTAAGATTGATTATTCTTCTGTACCTACCAGAAGAATGTATGAGTCTGTTCTGGAGCATATTTTATGACTTCACAAAATATAAGTTCTATCACAACCAATCTAACAATACGCCAGATGCTAACAATTTATACTCGAAAAGGAACAATGCAGAACAGCAACAGCCTTCTGAAAACCACTAGTTCCAGTGTGCTCCTCTTCTCCAAGCCCAGTGTCTTCTCTGTATAGAAATACATTTTATCTGGATTTTTGTTAAGCTTTGGAGTCAGTTTAAAGCAAATTTAAAAAAAAACCAAAAAACCAAAACGAAACACCCAACCAAACAACCCCATCCACAACCCTGCTTCTGTATGCATCCAGTTCAGTTTTTAGTCTATAAAGCAATTAAAGCATAGGCCTGACAACTCACTGCTTTAGATTACATCCTGCACAGTGAGCTGACCGGTGAGCAAACAAGCACTTCATAAAAACATAGTAATTATCATGGTTATGAAAACCATAACGTGAACTACCTGGATCTGCCAAACCAGTTGTCTCTAGCAAGATATAGTCAAATTTTCCTCTCCTTTGCATCAGGTTCTCAATTGCCTTCACACCACTGTCCCTGTAAGAAGGAACAATTAAACCCGAGAACAGAGAAACAAGCTAAAACATATATAAACATCTATCTTCTGATGCAGAACACACTGTCATTACCATCAGAGCAGACACCTGAGTCAGGGTTTATAGTCCACAATGAAAACTCAGTCACCCAGCTGCTGCTCTAATACTAGGCAAACTTTCTGTTTCATTTTGGTTTAAAAACGGTATTTGCCTACTCCCAACAGGCATAATAAAGGTGCTTTAAATGAAGATTTGTTTTCAAACACTGAAAACCCTGTAAAGGACAGTAGGGCTGAGTAAATACATAACTATTTGGTTTGGCAGCTGAAATTAAATAAAGAAAGATGGGGTGCGAGTGAGGCTGGAGAACTGAACCATGTTCTCCTGCCTTTCCACCTCACCCACAGCAAAATTGTGTTTTTTACTAAATCTCAGCTGATGAAGTCAGCCTGAAGCAGAAATGTATAGCATTTTCTATAAGACACCAATGTATACAAAACATAGCAGCAGTGGCAGCATTCCTTGCTCTAAGAATGTGTTCCTTACTTTACTGAACAGCACAGGCAACCATTTCTGAGCTCCAGCCATTCTTCATAGAGTTCTCCCCCCTGACTGATTGCCAGGGATTTCTCCAAGGCACTTCCTGGAAATATAAGTAGTACTACAATATTAATCTACAAATTTGCATGACGACACCTGGAAAAGAGATGAAAGATTTGAGTTGGTATACATTTTTACTCTTGTATTATACCTTTTTCTTCTGAGACCGTATTTCTGGCATGTTCTTCAGAAATTAGTATTTTCCATTTTATTAGAAATTTAAAAGCCAAAGTCAAGTTGGTCCTACAAAGACCAAACCCCAGAGGATGAAAGCAGAGTAAGTGTCATGAACTCTGCTGAAAGAATGGGAAGTCAGCCTTCACCTCCATATCAAACAAAGGTTCTGTCTTTATATTTTATTTTAAACTCCATGACCAGAAAAGCAGTATGCATTTTTGTTGATGAAAACAAACAAACCACCACCAACTCAGTGCAAACTGTAAGCAATGCCGATATGAAATCACAGCTGTTACAGTTAAAAATCCCAAGAAAGAAAGCAAAAAGTTCAAAGAACCACAGACACCAAGCACACATCTCCCCGTTTTCTTGGGGATCATTTGTGATCTGCACATGACTGAAGGGCAGGGAAAGAAAAGAAAATATTATCCGCCAACACGTTATTCTAATTTCCATTTGCTTGAAACTAAGCAGGACAAACGGAGGTACAGCACTTCCACAACGGTGATATGTTCATTAACTTGACTCCAAGGGATTGGATTTATGCAAGAAACAGATTAATGCACAGCACTATTCTATGAACATCATCCAGCCAAAAGACTTTTTGCCTTTCTAAAGACTATGACATATGTCAGTAATTTCAGTAATGGATTTAAAACTACAATGTTCTCAATTTTCAGAATTTGTATGAATTTGTCATTTTATGGCTAAAACAATGTTTCTGCAGATTTACATACCTTCTCCAAACTCATTCAGAATAACTGCTATTCTTTTATCATGCTGTTCTGTCAGTATGTAATTTAGAAGAGTTGTTTTCCCAGCTCCTAGAACACAGATCACGTTTCTATTAGTATGTTCAAAAAAAGCTCAGATTTTCAAATAAAGGGCAAACACTGTTGTGCGCATGCAATCTCAAACAAATCTCTTCTCTCCTGAAATGAGTTTTCATTATTATATCCTGCATTATAATACTGTAAAAATTCATTTGTAACAATATTAGACCCTGTGCAACTACCAAGATATTAAATCTCAGCCTTAAAAGGCCAATGGTTTCCCATTCACTAAGTGTCAGTGCTTGACAGACCCTATCAGTCCCCTATCAGCTGGGCAGCCTTTTCAGAGAAAACTCATTTTTTATGTTTCTCTTAACAAAAAGTACACTTATTCCTCCCCCTCCCACCGCCTTTTCCTACCAGCACTTTTGTCATCAGTCATCAATGATGTGCTACTGACTGCCATCACATGAGGCATTGTTAACCAAGGTGTTCACAATTTCTGTGTAATGCCACGCTACTAACAGTTTCACCCTGCATATGGACAAAATCTGAACTAGAGGAATTTGGTAAAGCAACCTTCCTTCCCTGCCCTCAGGGCTTTCTGAGTATGATGCAATGGAAAGTTACAACTTTTAGAACAGTGTTGGTGATCCTAAATTTAACCTCATCCTTACCATATGTAGGTATATCTGAAGCTCCCAAATCGTGTTGGTTTAAGAGAAAAAAGCCAAACCTCACATTTCTACGACTGCAATTCAGTCTGCATTTAAATACACTATTCTGGCTGCAAGCGGCAAAACGCGGTTTGTCACACGTGGACCAGAACGAAACACGAGCGGGCACCGCTGTTCGAAATCGCTGTGACACTATGGCTGGAGCCGCACTTGGGACAAGCGGCGTGAGGACAGCGCGCTTTCACTGCTTGAGCAACGCTTTCTGCTACACCACCAGGGCTGCGCTCCGCCACC